AAATTCAAGATTTAAAATTGTGAAGAATGTATATAGATGTGGACTGATTGAAGATATATGATTCCTTAAATTAAGAAATTTTTTCCGGTAAAAAAAAATATAAACTTTAAATATAGATTTTATTAGTAGTGTATACCAAAGAATATTGTTACATTTAAAATTCATATGAAGAAGAATTCTATTAATTTTCAAATTCAACATCTCATAAAAATAATATAATACACTTTTACATTCTATGAAACAATATTTAAAACCCACCGTTCAACATGCATAAAATGTAAAATTACCTAACATGAATCATTTTAACTTTCTAAAATCAGTACACAATTTTGCTCGGTATGTACTAATAGTCTAATAGTTAAGAGTTAATATTTGCTACGACATCTATTGGTTGGAAATGATTCCATTTTGTATGAAATTCGAAATAAAAATATATATTCTGAAAATCAAATCTGATTTAGAGATCGACTTCTTAATGGCCTTAAATTATGCAAATATATTGTTTCAGTTTTTAGGATTCTTTTTTATGATCTCAGTCTTTGCATTATATGAAATCTACACTTATATAAAAGCCATCCTATTTACTAGAAATAGTAGGTAGAAAAGTCAAAGGTAATTAATGCTTGCTGGAAATAGAATGATATTATTTACAAATTTGTTTTGGTATTTATAGGCTTGACATTAAAGGTTTGTTATGGGATAAAAATTAGAACCGATTTTTTTACCTTCGCTAGAAAAGTCAAAGGTAAGTATAGATTTGTTTTATCCCATAATATCGATTTAGTTAAGAAAATCCCATCAAATCAGTTTTATATGTCAAGCCTATGAATAAAGATTTAATGGGTCAAAATTAAATCCTTATTTTACGTCACCCATAAATAAAGTAGATGTCAAGCCTAAATTGAAGGGTTTAGTTGTCTATATAGCCATTGATTTAAGTAAACACATCTAATGTTTAAAGTTTGTGTAGATTGAAAATTCCTTCTTATCTTTTTACAAAAAATCTTATTATTATTGTATGAAAAATCAAACTCATAATGTTGTGTACAAGGAAGTCTTTAATAATATATGATTGTTTGTTTGTCGAATACTATCTTATTGTACAATTTTCCTGCGTATTATAATATTGCATCTTATAATATAGTATTCCTCAAATAAATATATTCCGTGTCTCGCACGGGTCACGTATTATATATATCCCGTACATTTTTCTGTATTCATGCATATAATTATAAGTCTGGATAAATAGCCTTAAAATTGTTCACCCCGTGCATCGCACGGGTTCTGTACTAGTATAGTTAAACAAAAGATAGAAAAGATAGAAAAGGGAAAATAGGTAAAAGGGAGGCATGAAATTAAAATTAATGTCTATTTTTCTTTTATAAAATAAAAAAGTACTCGTAATTTAATTTAAATAAGCATAAAGGACCCCAAAAGAATATATACCATAGTTGCAGAGATCTTCGTTTCGAAAGGAAAAAGAAGCAACTATTTGCAGTTTCTATCTTCGTCGGCCATTGCAGATTTCGCCATCGGATAAACTCTAACTCTTTGAGGTGAACAGTTTTTTGGGTCATTTTCTTTGGAAAAGATATTGATATACGCTCTTTTTCACCACGTGTTTCTCAAAATTGCTCTCTTTGAAACTACACTGGAAATTCCTGTTACCGATTGGTGACCTGTTCTCGGTTTAGTTGCGAGCCCATTAATGTATTTCTACTTGGGTTTGTGGAAGTCCTTGTGATTCGTAGTTATGTAATAGCATGTACTATTCTGAGGTGTTTTGATGGTGTGCTCTGTTTCTTGTGAAGTAGAAATTCTCTGGCGGCTCTTGTTTCTTGAAATTCACAAATGGGGGTCGTATGTTGATATTTAGGCGCCTCTTGTTTTCTAGGATTTTGTGAAATTTTATTTTATGAGCTTGGACGAATTTGATTAGGTTATTTATGCGTATCCTCTGTTTGTTGGTAATCAAAATGTGAAAGATCTAGTTTTTTACCATTTGTATTGTTGTTATTGCCTCTGTTCTTCTTGAATTTGTATAGATTTTCATGCTTTTAGTCATCTACAGGTGTTTGCTAGTACTCTTTTGGAACCCTTAATTGCATTGAATGCTCGAAACCATTCATGTCATTTTGGTATTATTTGTAGCTAAAAAATTCAGTTCTTGATTCCAATTTTAGTTGTATTTTGGTGTTACTGGATAGCATAGCTGCTACCATCACCAGATTCTTGAGTTTGTCTGCTGTTCTCGAGAGAAGTTCCTTTCTTTCTCCCTCTGTAACTTCTACTATTTACATAACTCAATTACTTTTGGTTTTGATTAAATTACATATTCTCCTCCCGTCTTTCCATTTGTTTTCGTTTTCTCCGGTTAAGCCGACTATATATTACTGTTTCTGCTCAAGTTTAAAATTGCGCGCTTTCACCCTTTTTTTTCCTTTTTCTATTTATATCGTAGAATGGGAAGCACAAGTGAGACAATCTACGGTGCCTACACATACGAGAATCTCGAGCGGGAGCCTTACTGGCCATCTCAAAAGCTCAAGATCTCCATCACTGGTGCTGGTGGCTTTATTGCCTCACACATCGCCAGGCGTTTGAAGAGCGAGGGCCACTACATAATCGCATCCGACTGGAAGAAAAACGAGCACATGACTGAGGATATGTTCTGTCATGAATTCCACCTTGTGGATCTGAGGGTTATGGATAACTGCCTGAAAGTGACTGAAGGTGTGGATCATGTTTTCAATCTGGCAGCCGATATGGGTGGCATGGGCTTCATTCAGTCGAACCACTCAGTCATCATGTACAACAATACAATGATCAGCTTTAACATGATTGAGGCCGCCAGGATTAATGACGTTAAGAGGTGGTGTTTTCCGTTTGGATCTTTTGTCGTCTTTTTCGGATTTTGTGTGTGTGTGCATTTAATAGACATATATAAAGTTTGTGCTTGTTTTTGTTTGTTGGCTTGGATATGCTTTTTTGTTTTTTGTCTTTAATGGGCGATCGGTCTCTCCGAAAGTTAAAACTTGATTTTTGAAATTAGTTATTTGTTGATTAAGTTGGTGTGGATTAGAATGCACGTTTACTTTGTGTGTAGGTTTTTCTATGCCTCCAGTGCTTGTATCTATCCTGAATTTAAGCAGTTGGAAACTAATGTGAGCTTGAAAGAATCTGACGCGTGGCCTGCTGAGGTTTCTATCTATTCCCTTCACAGTTTTGTTTATATATTAAAATCTTTTTATGTTTATAATATTCTTCGATAAGTTCAGCCTCAGTTTCTTATAATTTCATGAAAGAAATACTTGGATGTGTGAAATAAAGAACTTGTTTCGCATTCATTTTAGCCTCAAGATGCCTACGGGCTGGAAAAGCTTGCAACTGAGGAGCTATGCAAGCACTACAACAAGGATTTTGGAATCGAGTGCCGCATAGGAAGGTTCCATAACATTTATGGTCCTTTTGGGACCTGGAAAGGTAAAACGAAAGATTGGTTCAAATATTTGTTCCTTACTTAACTAAACAAGTTTTCCCTTTAAATTCGTCAACTTCATTGATTGTGGCAGGTGGGAGAGAGAAAGCACCAGCTGCCTTCTGTAGGAAGGCACTTACTTCGACTGATAAGTTTGAGATGTGGGGTGATGGTCTCCAGACTCGATCTTTTACTTTTATCGACGAATGTGTCGAGGGTGTTCTCAGGTACATTTTGCCTTATTTCAAGATACTCTTTAACAGATAGCTCGAGTTTTTATGATTCTGAAAGATGATGGGTTTCCTTCTGTAATTGAACCGAACCTTTGGTTACGTTTGTGATTAACACTCTGTTTTGAACCCTTCATGTAAATATTTACCCTTCACATTGTTTTGCAGATTGACTAAATCTGACTTTCGGGAGCCCGTGAACATCGGAAGTGATGAGATGGTTAGCATGAATGAAATGGCCGAGATTGTGCTTAGCTTCGAGAACAAGAAACTGCCCATTCATCACATCCCAGGGCCCGAAGGCGTGCGTGGTCGAAACTCGGACAACACTTTAATCAAAGAGAAGCTTGGGTGGGCCCCATCAATGAAACTAAAGGTAATTAAAGTTTGTTGATGAATTTTCCCTACGTTCGAAATATATACATCTAGTCCTTGCATTCTTGAATATTTGCGCAAGTTAAGGGCATCTAGGATAAAATATTTCATAAAATTCAAGCTCGTGTGACAAAAATTGCGAATAAACGTTTGAAGCTTCACGAGTGCTCAATTATTATCTTACATATGTACTGCTTTAGTTACGATTGCGAATGTGTGGCTTGAATGCTAATTTCCATGTATTATTATTACAGGATGGGCTGAGGATCACATATTTCTGGATCAAAGAACAGCTCGAGAAGGAAATTACTGAGGGAGTTGATTTGTCTGCTTATGGGTCGTCAAAGGTTGTCGGGACACAAGCTCCTGTTCAACTGGGTTCTCTCAGAGCTGCCGATGGCAAAGAGTGAAGAATATACCAACAATAGGCTTGTTTCTTTATATGCTCACGAGTCAGGTTTGTTTTGGGTCATTCAATATTATTCGTAATTCTTGAATGGGTTCCATTTTTACAGTTTGTTCGTATTACCATCGTATGCAAATGTGAGGATTATCTGCAACTTTATATGATAGCTGGATCTTTTATTTGTACTATAATTTGTTCTAAATAAACCTCAGGGGTGTTATTGCATTTAGTCATTTAAGTTTATTGTTACCACTTTTCTGGAGGTGAAATTTCAAGGTGAAAATTGAACTACCTGAACTGTCGGATCAATTTGAACCGTTGGATGTATGTTGATCCAACGTACCCTAGCTCATAAGGGTAGGGTCAAACCTTCAAATTTATAGACATGTTTGTAGTCTAGTAGAGAATATGTCACAATCTGTTTAGTGCCAACTTTAGGAAATTGTTTAGAGGCCACACAATGGGTAGGGTCAAACCTTCAAATTTTAGAGCCATTCAATTCCGATAAGGCCCTAATTTATAAGGCCACACAGGTCCAGATAAGAGACCCTAATTATGAGGCTATGCATTTGATGTGTATATATGTTATGTCTTATTATTATTATTGTTATTATTATTATTATTATTATTATTATTATTATTATTATTATTATTATTATTATTATTATTATTATTACTTTCTGTGTGCAAAATGCAATATGAATCACAAAATTTATTTTGGGTTGCATTTAACAAATGGGACATTACAAACATTGGGATTGAATCTTGTATGTGATAGGCTAGGTCATGAGATCTATATAATTATATAATTTACTGTACATTTAAACTTATAAGGGATTTTGGATTTCCAAGAAGTGTGCATATGATTTGAGTGAAACCACCATCTTGTGATTTATTTGAGATGTGAAAGGAAAAAAAAAAATGTAAGAAAAGGAATAAAACAGACAAAAGAGTCTTTTAACAAAAACTATTGGAAGTTGTAGGTGGAATATTAGCTTAAAATTCAATGTTTCAATTGTACAAGCTACAAACGTTTGTATTAATCTAGAAAAGTACAACTTAGTAGAAAAATACAAACCTTGTTAACATAATAACATAATGTTTTACTTGCCTAAGAGTTATTTTAACCAAAATATGGCTATATCAACTTCCCAAATAGGATACAACTTATTCTTAAGTTTGCTCAGTCTAGAAAAATATATTTTTCAATGCAAGTAAAAGTGGACTGGGTCCTGCTGACGTGGCAGCAAGAAAAAGAGAATTCGATTTACTCTTAAGTCTATTTTAGACCAAGTAGAGACATAGTCTCTTTGCATTGGAGTGAAATTTATTAATTTTGTATAATTTTATCCATATCATCCAAGACTTTAGTTTATTCACATGTCACATAGGCAAAATTAGACACAATGCATTACAGATGGTTTTAATTTTTCACTGTTAGGCTGTCTAATTATCAGACAACCTTATTTTTTAACAGAAAATATATAATTATGTTCTAAAATATCACTTTTATTTATATTTTTATTTTAAAATATGTCATTTGAGCATGAAATACGTATATTGTGGAAAGATATATTTATCTAACCCCCGAAATACTATTGGTGCCACATGTCATTTCTTCATATGTTTGACACCACAAATCAATTAGTACTTTTATTTTGTAATAATCAAACTAAAATCACTAGTTACTGTCCTCACCGAGCCTTTTATTCTCTCATATGCATTTGGAATGAACTTTTATGATCACGAAACAAGGGAAAAGTTATAAAAGAAACTGACTGTGTGAAAAAAAACTATGGGTTTGCATATTGAATTAAGCCTTGTCGTGTCGTGATTGTAAACTTTCTCATAAGTAATATTGTTCTCTAATTTACTTTACCTTAAAAATTCTTGCTTGAAGTTGTATGATCGTGACATGAAGGGTTACTGTATTAATTAGTGCTAACTGATTTTCTTACATAATTCGATTGATTAAGTTGATCTTCCGTTAACTAATCACTCCTAGCTGTACAAATATTATTGGACTGTTTGATCATTAACGTTTGCTGATTTAATTCGATAATCTAACATAGTACACCAAAAAAAGAAAGAAAAAAAAAATTATCTTATTCTATCCAAAAATCCATAGGTAAAAGATTCTAATCAAATTTCCAATGAATATTCAATAGTATATTTTCCGTTGGAAAAGTCCAACTCATATTTCATCAATGATCAACTCTAAAATATTATATAGGAATTAAATTTTCCTTCGAAATTCAATTGGAATTTGACGATTCCAAACGTCATTTTTTGAACGATTTATTGGCATATGAATTTTCGTTGGAATATACAATTTTCACTGAGATTTTTATTTTGGGTCATATTTCAACCGTTGGACAATTTGCCGTTGGAATTGTCAAAATCTCACGGAAATGCCAATGAAAAACTCATTTCAACGAAATATTTTCGTTGGATTCTGTTGTAATCTATTGAAAAATTACAATGGAAGAAATAACATTGGATATTCATTGGAGTTGCCTTTGAAATTCCATTTGTTGGAATTTTTTATTTTCTTGTAGTGTTGACTGTTACGATATTTTCTTTTGATATTAATTGTGTAACCCTTATATCGGGATTAGGTCTTTTATGGATGTTGTATGTTAATTTTAAGAGAGAATAACATCTGTTATATTATTAAAGAGGAAAAACTAGAGCTTGCTAGAAAGCAGGAAAACTTAAATGGGAAGGAACTAGTAGTCATGAGAACTGGATATAGAAACTTATGAATATAGAAGATGATATGTGTCCAAACTCCCCTCTCTCAATTGCTCGTCTGGACCCCTCTATTTATTGGGGGGGGGGGGGGGGGGGGNAATTTATTATATCTCGGGACGTGTGGCATCATATGGGTGATTAGCTGCATGCATGGTGAGTTGGTCACACGCGTCTCTCACCTTGCAATCAACTTGCCCAACTTGGGCAATTGGCTTATCCATTAGGGCGATGGGAACTGATTCTGGGTGACAACTCTTTTCACATTAGCTCAGGGTTGAGCTCGGCTGGACTGAGATCGACAATGAAGATAGGTCTTTTTTCTAGTAGATATCTGCGTGATTACCTCGTAGTTGGGAATGAAGTCGGCGTCTAGGGGAAGTCTTCAAGGTTGGCGTCATTTGTCTTGGCGGGAGTGCTTCGTGGTTCCAAGGGTATAATCTTGTAGTGTTGCGTCACAACCATCTTTGTAGTTCAATTTGGGTCGCCAAAGTATGTGTATCAACAAAACTAATTAGAGTTAGGGAATGTTCTAACTCTTTTGAAAGAAAATTAATTTTACAAAAGATGTAATCTATAAAATAATAAATAAAAAATATTCATTCACATTTATTTCTTCTTCTCTCTCTCTCTCTTTTTTTTTCTCTAAGAAAATAGACTTAAAGGTGGACCGCGTTTCATTTTCATGTTACTAAATTAGTCGGACCGAACCCATTTCTAGGAGAATATCTTTTTCTAGATTGAGTCTATTTCCTACGTGACATGTAACTTTTTTTAATTGACTAAAACATTGTGGATGCTCTAATAAAGATTGTATTAAACTATCATTTTTGCTAATTTTATATTGAGTTAATATATAATATATATTAGGGTCATATTATATCCAAATTATACCATTTTTTGTATATTTTTATTTGTTTAAAATTTACACATAAAATTAACTAATCACACTACTGTTAGAGCTGTCAAAACACGCAGATTCATGGTTCCCATGATCAAACTAGAAGTTACCAAGGAACCATGAATAGCAATGAATAGGGAGCCGCCGAAGACACCAGGTATGCCTAGCATGTGAAATGGCCCGCCCGCAAAAGGGGCGGGTTGGGCCTTAATTTTCCAGACCCGCCAGGGAGTGGGCCTACGCGGGCTGAGGCGGGGTGGGGCGGGCTAACTTGTGGGCCGACCGGCCTAATTAAAAAAAGGTATACATTAATACATATGTATTGGATGGTGTAGATCAATTAAAATCCTAACTTAAAATTTGAACCATTGAGATGTTATATTAAATAGACCAGGGAAAAAAAACACACACTTACACATCTCTTCCGTCGCCTCCATTCATACACTCTGTCTGCAGAAATCCCATCGCCTCCATTCACACACTCGCAAAAATTCCGTCACCTCCATTCACACACTCCGACCTCCCGTCGCCTCCATACGCTGACACTGCACACAACACAAGAGATTCTCAAGTCCCGGCATAGTCACGACCTCCCGTCGCCTCCGCCCACACCTCCCGCGTTGCCTCTACACGCGGCAAACAGCCTCTCCCCTCCGATTCGCGGACCTCCGCCAACGCCTCCGCCTCCGGCCTAGGTCTCTGGCGTCGGCCTTAAAAATCACCTCCTGCCTACGCCTCCAATTTTTTTTTTAGGCACATTTTTTTGTTTTTTAAGCCTACATGCATGAGGCAATAGATTTTTTAAATTAAGGCCTATAGGCAATTTTTGAAGTCCAGCGAGTTTTTTTTTCTTTTTTTAAGATATTGAACAGGGCCCAATCCAACCCANAAGCGGGCCTGGCCCGCCGAGCCAGTGGCCCGTGACGGGGGCGGGTTGGGCCAGCTTTTCACAGGCCCGCCAAGATGGCAGGCTACGAGCCGACCCGTATTGACAGCTCTACCTACTGTGATGAGTGATGCATCAAATTTACATGCACATGAAATTTATTCATCCGTCATCTTGTGGGGTGATTGGTAAGCAGTCAAAATCAGCTAAACTTGATCAAAATTGATCATAAATTAAAATGAGTTATTTTGAATAAAGTTAATTGAGTTGGATGATTGAGATTGTAATTAAATAATATATAAAATATAATGATTTAAATTGATGTGATGTAAACCAAGAGAGAGATGGTGAAAGTGATAGTTAATTAAAAATACGTGACTGGATGAATAGTGGATTAAAGTAGATTTACCGTTGATTTAATGTAAGATAAAAATTATTGATATTATTTAATTATATTGACAATATTGAGAAAAGTGAGGTTGAGTTGCATGTTATTGTGAGTAAAAAAATTTGATCCAATCCAACTGTAAGAATTTTTTTTATGTTGCTATTTTTTTTAAAAAAAATTTACGGATTAAATCAAACTTCAATAAACAATGTTGAACTATCCCATCAAATGAATTCACTTATACTAGATTAAAAAAGAGTTATCAATATTAAAATTAATACTCACATTATTAAAAAATAAGATATTTATTTGTCCGGATTTTAAAACTTGTATATAATTAGTCCTTCCTGATGAGATTTTTCAAAATGGACAACACATAGAAATAGAACTAAAGTGGTCGGTTGGGGCTGGTGAGATTTTTCACCTGCGCCCACTCATAAACTTCTTCTAGTGAGATTTGGTTTGAGGTGTGGATTTCATAGCTTTATTTTATAGTCCCGTCTTTATAAAAAATTAAAACAAGTGAAACACGGTTTTTCATAAGATGAGATTGCTGCTAA